TCGTCAGCCAAAAACAAATAAACAAAGTGGGATATTATAACAGGCCTTCCCAGGCGAAGAGGTGACTTTGTTGTAATGTAACCGTGTGGAGTGAACCACTGCTTGCTGTGATGAATACGGAGTCAAACGGAAACTGCTGTATTGAGCGAACAACAAAGTGAGGAAGGAAGAGAGATCCAGAGGAACGAGAGCTTAAATACAGGATGCCAGCAGCGCGCACGTGACACATACTACATGCTGCGCTACACGTGATCAACCCCTAGTTCCTCCAACTCCGTAACAAATACGATTTGGTACATAGATATAAGTATTTAAGTTAAGAGTTTAAGTGGGTACGTTGAAGTTAAAACCGTAGGTATATATATAAAGGCTCGAGGGGATAATAGTTAGTACGTCTTCCTACTACGCTTAGTCGCTTATAATTAGCGGAAGTAAGTATAACGCGGAAGCAAGTATAACGCTAGGCACACGTATGTCGCTCTTTACTATAAGATAGCGCCCTATCTACTCGTCGGAAAGATATATAAATAGTATAGGCTTATAAATATAATTAATTATCATCCTATACTAAAAAAGTATGCTTTTTTAATTTAAATTACATACGATACAAACAAGTTTATATATTCCTATACCTTAGTCGATTTTAGTAGGGTACGTACGTTTAGTTCAGAATATGTACAATAAAACTATCGAATTTAACCTGGTTAATTTAAAAAAAATGCATTTGAATAGTGATATTTTTACGCAAGCTGTTTCTTTAGGTGTAGTTTTCGGAGCCTTAATTCTAGGTGTAGCTAGAAATCCCTCGCTAAGAGGTCAGCCGTAACTTTTATATACGCTAGGTACTCCCGAGTACGTCTACGAGTACTCCTCGTGTATTTTCCTTTATTATCTATTACATTATAACATTCTAAGTCGTATTTAGCTTATACTTTAGTATATTATAGAGCTAATTAAGGGCTTTCTTTTGAGCCTACACAGGAGTTTGTTGTCAAGGGTTGCACCCGTGGAGTGAGTCTTGGAGTGCTCCAGCGACATGTGCACGTGACCTCTAAGCAGAATTGGTAGAACCTTCTAGAGTATTGGTAAAGGACACGTAGCCAGTTCTGTGGTATATAGAGAGGGCTGGGAAGCTGCTTTGGGAAGGACAATCGAATCTTCTTGTACATAGACAACCTCTGTAGTTCAATTCATCAGCATTTGCTACAAGTCCTGACATTTGTATCTCAAAAAATAACTATAATATAATAACCCTAACCCCTTGCGTTACACTTGCTTCCGCTTTTTACAAGCGACTGAGCGCAGTAGGAAGACGCACTGACTATTATGGTCTAAGATATACCCAAACTACCCTAATATAAACAGCCTTCATATACACTTGTTACCAAAGCCACTTACCCAGGATCTTACATAAGAATAACTTATTCGACGTTGGGGAGATAAAGGTTCCACTCTGAAATATTCTTCGGGTGATGGTTTTTCATGGATCATGACAAAGGAGTTCAGTAAGGAATTCTTGTGCCAAAGTTTCCCGGATTTTGCAACACGGATTTCAGGGCCCTGTAACACTCCTCCTAGGGACTGATCATTCAAAGGGTCAGAGACGCGTACCGAGAGGCCACAGATACCCCAAGAAGCTCCATAGGTAGCAAGTATTTTGAGTACAAAGGGTTTTAATTTATCGCACGGGACATAATATATCATCATCTATCATCAGGCGTCTACCCGCTCCCCCCCCCAAATTCCAAACTCCCAAAACTGAGTTGATGGGCTTTTAGCTAAGCAGTCCACCTCTTTATCTTATTGTTCCATGGCACACTGGGGGCATCGGGAGCGGCATTTTTGTCCTGCTGAGGCTCCCAAGATGGAGGACCTGGTAAGTCATATTGCGCCAGTAGGGATGAAAGTGCGTCATAGTTGAGTCCTGCTTCATCTGCTTTGTAGATTCCCGGGATTTTCGCAAGTGGTGTGGGCTGTTCCTCGTTGAGGGATGAGATGTTGAGTCTGGTGTTAACGTTAGTATAGAAACCCCCAGCCTTTAAAACGTAGCTCTCCAATAAAGAAGGAAGAAAAACGGTAAGTTATTACTTACTGCATGCACGCGACATTGAATTCAGCATTTCCTTTATTAGCATTTTGCAACGCAATCTGTTCAAACCGAACCAAATATTGTCCCGCGGGAATTGTTTCTGGAATTCTGAAATCGGCTGTATCCAAATTGAAGTTGCACCAGTTCTCATTTATTCGGGGACCTCCAATACAAATACCCTGGTGCCAGATTTTGAACCAATCTCCTGAACCGTCGTAACTTCTCACATCGTCATTAGGCGCCCGAGACATATAAATCAGGACAGGACCAATATTTGAAAAGGTTTGGTTATCATGTAACCTGGCCCCAATTCTGTGGGTAGCACCCACCGAAAATACCTGTGGAGAGGAGGATGTTAGTTGAGCTTCTAAGGTGGAAGAAAGGAAGAAAAAGAGGATAGACATGTACCTTTGAATCAGGTGCAGCCTTATCACCGCCCTTACCACACCGCAAATCAGTGGAGCTAAGTGCATCGGGTGCAACAAGAGGTCTTGCAAGCGTTGGGTTGGCTATATCATCATTCGGTCGCATATATTCGAAGGGTTCCCCGACGTCCTTATCGTCCACAATCAACTGACTGAAGAGGTAGCCCTCTATGAACGGAGCCGCTACTAAGAGGGCAGTGAGGGAGTACTTGACAAACATGCTGAGATAGTAGTGAAAGCTTCGAGGAATAAACGGAAGACAAGGGTGGGAATCCAACGAGGCACTTGGATATGAAGAAAAAGAGAGTTGAGGGAAAGGATATTAGACAGGATACTTATACGAAGTGATTAGTCAAGAGACATCGCCACGGTGAGATCTCGTAATTGGGAACCTCGATTAAGGATGGCCTCGATGATACAACTATGTTACAGCGATTCTTCTTGTGTCGAAATTCTACTTTCCTCGTAGCTATTTTGGAATGAGGCAATGATCTTTTATCAGGATTGGTTCTCGACTGTATCAGCAAGACCCGCCAGTGGTATTAGAAACTGGAGACCGTTTAAGGTTTATCCAAGAAATGGATCCGTACTCTGGATCGAACCATTTTATTAAGCCACCAAGATTTTTATTTATATCTGTAACAACAACAGTCTTGGCGAGCCAGACTTTGATATTTCCATCAGCTAGTATAAGGCGGTTAAGAATAAACACCTCGAGGTAATGGGGATATAGTGGCCAGAGATCCCTTCTACGATAGTGAGGAGAAAATTGTGAAACCGTATATACTATATACTGTATGTAAATTCGATATGATCACAAGTACTACCTATATTGATTTGGGAGCGACCACACTTTTATACAGTAGCACTGTATCGAATAACCCCTGCTTGGCGTTTTGCTTGCCAGAAACCCTGACTGCCATGGCTCTCTTGGTTCACGCTATTCTACTTGTAAGACACGGCCGAAATAACGAAATCCTCGATAGCGCGTAATTTATATATATATATATCAAGAGCGTGAGAACCTGGGGATATCATTTCCTGGTGATTTATTTAATCTCTGCTTTCAGCCGCTAGTTACACGGCCGTTTCTCCCCCGGGCCTACCAGGGGTCATTAGAATTCTGGGCGCAGCCTTGGATTTCAGCCGAAAACACACCAGAAACGCCCTACTTTACTAAATCGTAATGAAATAAAGGGCAATCTCAACAGCTTATAATTGAAGCCTATAATAGAGACACACAATAGCTTTAATTTGTACTATTTAGAATTTTAATAAAAGGGACTCTGCCCAAGTACTATAGGACTAGTAAATTTAGTAGGGAATTTAGTAAGAGAAAACTCTCTACTAGAAAATATCTTAATATATTAGGTTTTAAAGAAAACTTTAGTATATCTACTTTATTTATATACTCTAAAGAATTAATATATAAGTTATTATATATAGTTCTAATACGAACTTGGAGAGTTATAGGGTTATAAAAACGTAGTTTTTAGTATATATTTAGTTAAAATATAGAACTACGCCTAGAATTCTAACGAGCCCCTGTCACGAATCACGTGTTGGCATGTGATAAGCAAAGACCAGGCGGCGTCTTGACAGGTTAAGCACCATCAACACACTCTTATAGCAAATAGGGATGCTTAGGCTAGCTAAGCGATCCAGGGATTTCATCTGATAGAAGTCATGTGACCGTCATTGATCATTGGTGATCAACTGAGCAACGCTGAGCTGGATCAGTGGGATCAGGGTGATCATAATGATCAACGAGCAAGAAGGTTCTATATAAGACTGGCACGTCTGCCATTAGATAGGAGCTTCGTGCTCAACTTAGTTATCGATCTTATCATATTAGTTTGACATCTTTGATACAAGTAACGAGTTCACTTCCAAGTGAACAACCCGATAGTCTTC